AAGTATCATATCTGGGATTTCTTCCATATTTATTCGTTATTCATAATGAAGTTGATTATCCAAATATTCATTGAAGACGAGATTTGCATTGAATACATAAAATAAATGATATTTTCAAAAAGTAGCTAATAAAATCACAAGACACGAATTTCAAATCAAATTTCCAACGATCATACCACAAATCAAAAACATTTGTACATGATCAGCCTGCAGTACTCAAGTAGTGTGATGAATATTATATCAATTCCATATTTTAAAAAATGGTGAAATGAAAAGGCAACGAGTGTTTTTTTTTTTAGAGAAATTAAATATCAGATATAGAGGGAATAAATACGAAATATTACGTAGTACTAACATGTAAATTATACTTCACTAGTTAATATGAGGTTATAGCAACCACTTCTATATATTATATTACTTTTAATCTGTCGTATGCTTTAGAATCTTTTGCAACGAAAGAGTGTACCCAGCTTTACAAAGTGGACTACAAAAACATTTTACTGTTAGTATTTATTATAATTTATTAGAGATGAAAGTTGCAAGTTATTTTCTTTAATATAAATGTATAATTAATTATTCCTCACGTGGAAGAAGAAAATTCAGCTTTTTTCTTTCTCGTAGTAGGTAAGTCAAAAGTGGCAAATGACATGTTGACTAGTTTGACAAGTCTCCTTGCTTAAAAAAAAAGATGCATAACTAATTTATTTTTGTTTTTTTAGACTATGTGATGTTTGCAATAAACAAATTTTTATTAGAATCATTAATTAATACAAATATAAATAATTTTATAAATACATTCAATATTAATTGATTTGATTAATTCAGATACTCAATCCTCTGTGTAGGTCTAATTACTAAAGAGGAATATTGTTATCAATAATCAAGAAGTTTGATACTCTAATGACTCGAATTAAATAACTAGTTAAAAATATACAATAATCTACAATTTTATCGTACCTTCTATTTAGAAACACATATCTAATGAGGATACTTGATTAAAATTGAAGATTAATAACTATTTCATAATCTAAATAATAACGTTCTGCATAAATTGCAAGAAAGAGAATATTGTAATAAGTTTCTTTTCAATACATATAAAAGTTTAATGAAAATCTACTATAACATCCTTATCTATGAACACCTAATTTGCTTTATAGAAGTTCTTTTGTTTTTTTAATCTTCATTGACATAAATTATATTGGAATTAAATTACATACACAAGTTTTTTGGGTGTTCTTTTAGAATTAGAAGTTGTATCTTTTGGGACATATTCTCTTTATCATATTTAGCGAAAAATGGTAGTAATTTATATGAAATGATAAAGTATACGTGGGAGTCTGTGTATTGTGTTTTTCTTAGAAATATATATCATACCATCTCAGCATCTGATATAATTTGTTATAACTTTTACTTCGTAAATTGCCCTCTTAGCATATGATATAACTTGTTATGTATATTACAAAATATAACTTATGCGTACAAGATAAGAAAGAGGCTCATCATTTGACACCAATAATGTGAACACACAAACTTATACCACAAAAATAATACTATTTGTTATTTGAGTATTACAAATATTTAAAAACGACTTCTTTATCTCTACAAAATAATATTTCCTTCGTTTCAAAAAGAATGTCTTTATTTTTTTTTTAGTTTGTTTTAAAAAAAATGTTTCCTTTCCTTTTTTGGCAACACTTCAACTTTAACTTTCCACGTGATATCTTTAGAACCACAAGATTAAATGATATTTTGATACATTTGACATAACTTTGATTTAGAACCATAAAATTAAAAATTCTTTTTTTTTCTTTAACTCCATTTCAAGTCAAACTAGACCATCCTTTTTTAAACGGACATTTGTGTATATCCTTCTATTGCATTTTTGAGATTTCACACCATTAGCAATTGTTATTATTGAGTGTTAAGAGATACATTGAACCATTTATTCATTATTCAAGATGTTGAATAATACTCATTTCGTTTTAAAAAGAATGATCTAGTTTGATTTTGAACGGAATATAAGAAAAGAAAAAAGACTTTTTAATCTTGTGGTTTTAAATTAAAGTTATGTCAAATTTACCAAAATACTCTTTAATCTTGTGGTCTTAAACATGTGACGTGAAAAATTAAAGTTAAAGTGTTACCAAAAAAAGAAAAAGAATCATTTTTTTTAAATAAACTAAAAAGAAAATAGTATCATTTGTTTTAAACAATTTCCCTAAAAAAAGACAAAAGATAAACATCAGGACAAAATAGAGACATTTGTGTGTATTAAATTGGATAAGAATACGAGTATGGACGTCATTACGACTTACGTATGAATTTGGACTTTACAATAGGTTTTGACAAAACATACTCTCTTCCGCGATTTTCCTTTGTGTCACATGAAATTAAATGAATCATAGAGATTATTTTAATGTGATAATCAATTTAAAATTTTCAAATACAGACTGATAAATGATGATCAGCATCCTGCTTTTACAAAATTACGAATAGAAATGTATGGATTGAACTTTCACTATTGCTAACAGCTTTCTTCGTCATTTTTGTCCTTGTTATGAGCATACTTTTGAAGGTTTTCACCATGCAATTTGCCATACCTAAATTCATCAAATATTTCAACTCCCATATTTATGTAAAAATCATATGATTTCTTATTCCAAACTGCTACTATTCCATCGACCGATACGAACCCATTGTCCGCAGCAATGGACGAAACTGTTCCAAACAACAATTTTCCCATTCCCAACTTTCTATAACTCTCCCTAAAGTAAAGACTCTCAAAATAAAATCCAGGTTTGTCATTGAAACATGAATAATTCGCGTAAAAGAAAGCATATCCCGCGATGTAAGCATCACTCTTATCATCATATTTGGACCGAAACTCCTCAACTTGTCCTTCCACCACGGGAAATTTAAGGTCAAACGTTGTAAGGACAGGCTTGAACCCTTCGTTTGTGGGTTCGTCAAAAGGGGTTGGAGAGACTTCAAGTAGAAGTACGGATGGACCATAGAAAAGTGGAAGAGGATTTTCTTTAAAGAGCAAATTGGCTAAGGAAGACTCAGTGGCTTTGTATAGATGAGTATAGTTATGGTATTCATGGATTTGGTAAAATCATTTGTATATATGAGAAAGATCAGATTTCGTAGCAAGACGAACTCGTGTGTATATCTTTCCAGTGATGGTAACGTTCGATGATGCATCGGTGATTAGTGAGTCAGATGGAATTGGCTGTTGAAGAGAAGGAGTCATGGTCGTGTGGTGAATTAGATGAAATATTAAGGCAAAGGATTAGGGTGACGGTTTTATTTGTAATGGGATACTATTGAATGTAAAGATAATAGTAATGGTTATTTATAGTGGAGATTTCGTCCCCTTCGTAATTATTTGTTTGGTTGCTGGAGATCAACTCAAATGTGCATGTTAAAAAAAATATATAATTTATGGTGTGCTTTATATTGTTTTGCAACGAAAGATAGCAGGCAGCTTCACAAACAAGTCATAGTGGACTACATCAACATCTTTGCTAAAGTAAAGCTATTGTTCAGTACAACTTTAACGTGGAAGAAGAAAATTGAGTTATAATTTCTCTTTTCTGCGGTGGGTAACTCATAATTAAGTGGCACATGACATGTCGATTAGCTTGACAAGTTTCTCTCTAAAGGATTTGACAGTTTATTTTTACTTTTTTAAAATGAGTTTAACTAATATATCTACAATTTGGTTATATCAGTAGTCTTTAAAAATTTAAATTTTTGTTATATTTGAATTACAAAAAAAGGAAAGTAATGGTAAAAGGTAATTAGGACTCTACAGCGAGAGAGGGGGATTAGAGAGGGAGTGTTAAAAGAATTATAAAAAGAAAAAAGAAAAAAAGCGATAAGCTGAAAGATAGCTGGTAACTCACTAGTAAAAAATTATTGCCCGTTAAATTATTTGATCGTGTAAAAAATGTCTATACCATTAATGAATACAAAATCAAACACTTTTAAAATTATATAAAATTATATCATATTTATCGTTGATAAGTCGAATACGTTGGTAAACATTATATTGTCAATGTTGACGGCTATATTTAACTTTCATGCCCTCAAACTATTTTCATATTTTGAATGGTCCTATTGTTTTATGTTTTATTGTTAAAGCATTTTCTAGCTCAAATAAAAAAGTCAAAAAAGGAGTGGGTGAAACTCTTTAATTAGTCAATGTAGATAGTGGAGTACACCCACTACTCACTATACACATATTTATCGAAAAACTACTATAAATGAATTTATATGAGGTCATGATAATATATCTTAGCTTTATTCGTAAGATTTGGTTATTAGCAATTGAATATTCATAAATATTTTAACAAATTAAAGAAAAATAATAATGATAAAATTTATGATTATAAAGTCAGAACATGAGAGCTGAGTTTGATATTGCTAGCCAATTATAAAGCTCCACTCGAGCTCTAATTAGGTACCCAATGAATGTCAATCCGAAAATATTATTAGTGGTGCCAATTAATATTTGTAAAATTATTGGGAACATAACTTTTTGATATATAATTTGTTAATTACTAAATAAGATTAGTGATGAATTATTTTGTTCGACTACAAAATTTATCTTGTCATTAATTTTTAATATAACCAACCTAATTTGTTCAATGATTGAAATGAAGCGTAATAGTTGTTGTACTATATATTTTCTATACAACGAAAAATCAGAATAGTTATACAAAATTTTAGTGGATAACATCCATAGCTCATAGTTGAGACTTCCCTTTCATTACCTACTCACAAACTTTTTATCATCAGTATTTACATTATAATAAGTACTATCTTATTTTAGGGTATACAAGTCACTAGTTGCCCCTAATAATGATAACTAGAATGCACACTTGAGTTTCCTCAACTAACCCCACTAACTAAATAAGTTTTATAAAATAATTAAAAAGACCACCACTCCACTATAAATAACCATTGAAATCTTTTCAAACAATGTCTCATTAATTACAAAACCTTCTTCATAGTCCTTTCAATATTTCCTACACTCTTTATTTTTTCCCTAGTTCTTCAAGCTTGCCTTATTACCATGGCTTCATCTTTATCTGAAACAATAACCACCGATGCATCATCGGAAAACAACAACGTTACCATCACTGGAAAGATATACACAAGACTTCGTCTCGCTACAAAATCTGATCTTTCTCATATATACCAATTGTTTTACCAAATCCATGCATACCATAACAACACTCATTTATACAAAGCTACTGAGTCTTCCTTAGCCAATTTGCTCTTTAAGGAAAACCCTCTTCCACTTTTTTACGGTCCATCCGTACTTCTACTTGAAGTCTCTCCAACCCCTTTTAACGAACCCACAAACGAAGGGTTCAAGCCTGTACTTACAACGTTCGACCTTAAATTCCCCGTGGTGGAAGGACAAGTTGAGGAGTTCCGATCCAAATATGATGATAAGAGTGATGTTTACATCGCGGGGTATGCTTTCTTCTACGTGAATTATTCGTGCTTTTCTGATAAACCTGGATTCTATTTTGAAAGTCTTTACTTTAGGGAGAGTTATAGAAAGTTGGGAATGGGGAGTTTGTTGTTTGGAACTGTCGCGTCTATTGCTGCCAACAATGGATTCGTATCGGTAGAGGGAATAGTAGCAGTTTGGAATAAGAAATCATATGATTTTTACGTAAATATGGGAGTTGAAATATTTGATGAGTTTAGGTATGGAAAATTGCATGGTGAAAATCTTCAAAAGTATGCTAATGATAAGGAGAAAAATGATGGAGGAAACTGATAAGGAGAAGGTGGAATTTATCATATTGTATTTGTAATGTTTTAAAAGCAGAATATGCTCATTATCACTGTGTATTAATTTGTATTTGATTTAGTTAATTTCACACTAAAAAGCACCTCCATACGCCGTGCAAACTTCAAATGAACATCCTCAACCGCATCCCTTCTAAATCTGCCCCTGATTAGCGGGGTGCCCACGATTGTTTCTTTTTTTAATACTAATAAAATAGGGAAAGGGTATCCAGACTTACGTAAACCTTTTTTTTCCACGCTTTTTTGACTCAAGTGATATCTAAATATATCTTACGCATCTCAATTGTATGGAGTCACGGAGCATGCTACGCAAAATAAAAGACGTATTAAATTACAAAAAAATAAGTATAAGGAGATAATAAGATCTTAATTTAGTTAACGTGTGTCTCTGGGATTTTGATCATATTCGAAGAGATACTTGTGTTTTATTCCTAATAATAAAATAACTAAACCACAAACATAAGAATACAAATTAGGTCCTTTGGGATGACTTAGTTCATTTGAAAGGTGGTTAATCACATGGATGATCCGAAACCGATTCCCTTCAATGCCTTCTGAATTGAGTTTGTCGCATAGGATTTACCTAATGCAATTTACATCCCCTTTGTGATTTGGAGACTATTACAAAATGTGGATTAAAAATATATATATATATATGAGAAGACTTAATCCTTACCTTATTTATAGTGATGAGGTAAATTAAATGTGTCTCCCCTTCATTCTTAGCTACCGTTTGACTATAAATTTCTTAGCCCAATGTTTTTTTAATCATGATTTTATATATGCCGTTTATATAATTTTTAATATATAAATTTTATTCTTAAATGCACGATCAAACTTTAAAATTTTGAATTTAGAAAAGTAAAAATGTTGATTAAGTACAGGTTTGATTTATCGGTAATGCAAGTCGAATATGTAGTATATATCATTATATGACATTCTTCAATATTATATAGGGATGAAAATGGTGGGATGGCTATCTAATTATTATTTTGAAATTTTGATAACTCAATTTTGTTATTATTATATATATATTGATTTTTAGAATTTCATAATCATATTGGTGGCATAAAATAAGAAAAAATTATTTGGATTAATACCTTTTAATAAATAATTATTGATTTTAGCGATACTTTTTATTTATTACCATTTATAACAAACTATGTTAAATCTAAAATATGTGTTATAAAGTGAATTATGTATGCAATAAATATGTATTATAATTATTTGTAAAATATATTATGTTTGTTTTGTAAGAAATTAATACATTGTATAATAAGTGTATTAAAATATGTGATAAATATATTAATCATCAATAAAACTTGTATAAGAGTATATGCGAATAATAAATTATTCTTTATAATATGCATTAAAATTGTATTATAAATATATTAAAAGTGATATAGTGAAAAAAAATATTATTACTATAAATGATAAATATTTTCTTAATGTAATATATTTATGTAAATTTCTCAAAAAATAAAGTGATAGGACAATTTATATTGCATTTTGATGGATCAAATTAGAAAATCAGTTGATTTTTTTTAAAGAAGTGATTGATTATATTACTATGTTCATAATTTATACCGTTGAAACATTAAAGCATGAAAGTAATAGTTCAACAAGAGCCGGTGCTTTTATTCAATTACATTTACATCTATTATATATAATATAAGTTGAATCGAACAAATATTGTGATTACCCATTTATTATTTGGTAAAAAATATTAGAATCGAAGTTAAATTATTAAATTATATTAAATTATGTTAATATAAATATAATATTAAAATATTAAAAATTAAAATCATCGAACTAAAATATTCAGTTATTGATTGATGCCACCTCAGTATATACCACGCGTGGAAGAAGAAAAGAAAAGTCAATTTTTTTGTTTTAAGAAGTTACTCCGTAAGTGGCAACTGGCAACTTTGACAAAGTCCTTTTGTAGATGAGAGCTTTTACTTCCATTTTTAAAAATTAAGAAATATCATACTCTGTTTTGAGGCAAGTAAAAGTGATGAAAAACATTAAAATATAAGTATCAATATTATGGTAAAATTATAAAAAGTAAACAGCTTATTTCCATTTCAAACGATTTAGTTTAGATATATGTTTACTTTATAAAATGATTACATTTGAAAGATGGCGCAATTTTAATTTAAGGCTCCCACCAAATATTTGTTTTTATAGGAAAAAGAAAAGAAATTTCATCCGATGCAACTTGCTTGACCCTTTTATCTACCACGTACGTTTCAGTTGACGTCCACCAACCAAATAAACATTTATAAAATACTTAAAAGGGTCCAAATTCTCCACTATAAATAACTTGTTATCTTAATATATCTATTCATACAATTTCCCATTGCCAAAAAGAAAAAGAAAAAAACTTCATCCTACCACTTTCAACAATATCTCCTTTTGCCTTGAACAACTATGGCTCCTTCTCTTCAACAACCAATTCCATCTGAAGCAATAACCAGCGATGCATCATCGGACGTTACCATCACTGGAAAGATATACACACGAGTTCGTCTCGCTACGAAATCTGATCTTTCTCATATATACCGATTGTTTTACCAAATCCATGAATACCATAACTATACTCATCTATACAAAGCTACTGAGTCCTCCTTGGCCAACTTGCTCTTTAAGGAAAACCCTCTTCCACTTTTCTACGGTCCATCAGTACTTCTACTTGAAGTCTCTCCAACCCCTTTTAAAGAAGCTAAGAATGAAGAGTTCAACCCTGTCCTTACAACGTTTGACCTTAAATTCCCTGTCGTAGAAGGACAGGTTGAGGAATTCCGGTCCAAATATGACGATAAGAGTGATGCTTACATCGCGGGATATGCTTTCTTTTACGCGAATTATTCGTGCTTCTATGACAAGCCTGGGTTCTATTTTGAGAGTCTTTACTTCAGGGAGAGTTATAGGAAGTTGGGAATGGGGAAATTGTTGTTTGGGACAGTTGCATCTATTGCTGCTAACAATGGGTTTGTATCGGTTGAGGGAATAATCGCAGTATGGAATAAGAAGTCATATGATTTTTACATAAATATGGGAGTTGAAATTTTTGATGAGTTTAGGTATGGCAAATTGCATGGTGAAAATCTTCAAAAGTATGCTCATAACAAGGACAAAAATGACGAAGGAAGCTGTTAGTGTGTTATTTTTTTACATGTTGAAAGTTCCCATTCATACATTTCTATTTCTAATCTTGTAAAAGCAGAATGCGCATTACATTTATATCAAGTTTAAATTTGTTACTCACTCCGTACGGTATTGTTTGTCATGATTTCTATTTTTAAAGTCAAATTATAAAAATTTTGACTAATATTTTAAGATGTATATTTACATCATATTAATATACAAAAAAATATAATTTATAGTACTTTTCATATAATTTTAGAATATCTAATTTTTTTATTTAAAATATCAAATTATCTTTAAAAATTAGTGAAACTTTCAACTGAGAGGAGTATCATATATAACACAATCCCTTTGATTCATTTAATAATATGTGGCACGGTTATTATTTGGGAATTCACAGGTTTTTTTTTGCCCTTGCCATATTAGATATGCATTTCCCCTCCATTTTAGGCTTCGTTAGTTGTACTTACTTTTACGAGCGAAACCTCCAAATTTAGAAAAATAACTATACTATACTATTTTTATTAAAACTTATTGAAAAGTCCAAGGTTCGTTACGTAATTGACAATAATGTGCATACTCATTTATCAAGTGTATCCCTATCCAATTTAATTTGTTGATGTCATTTGTACAAATGTTTTTATTTTGGAGTGATATTTAACTTTAAAATATTTTTATTTATTTATTTATTTATATAAATTTATTATTTGCATCTGTGGCAACTGGCAACATCCAATAGATATTTTTATTACGACATGTGGTTAATGATTCGCTTAGTTAGAATTCTCTCACCAAAAATATTAAGGTAATAACTATCTATAAATTTTATCGTCTATTATAAATTTTGTAAAGAAAGTGAGTGTTGTGATTGGGAGAAAAAAAAAAAACAGATTGGACTATATCAAGACGTACGGTATTATTATTTTCTTTTCAATTTAATTATGATGTTTGAATTTATAAAATCAAATAAATTTTTTTTTATCATATTTAATTTATTTTCTTATCTTTTAAATTATTAATTATTGAGATGTAAAAAATAGTACTTAATTTATCTTATAAGCTCCATGATTTACTTAATTAATTGGAGATGCATCTAGCATTGTATATCATATATTATTCTTCAGGATACCATAGATATCAAATTACCATATTTGAAATAAAAGTTTTTAATACAAGAAATGCAGTATTCTAATTTTGGTATATGCATTTTATTAATTTTATAATTATTCATAAGAAAATTACTTGAATTTTTCTTGAAAATATTTTTATATGTTTAACCATTTAAGTTAGTAGTTATTTTAAAATCAAAGACATAATTATCTATTATATGTTAATAACATACTTTAAAAGATACAAAATTAACTGCGGAATAGGAATAATATAATATTTCTAAAATTCGAAAACCCAAATTAAGGAACCAATTTTTTGAGTATCATGCTCAGTCCAATATGGCTTATACCACATGTGGAAGAATCCGGATCTGATCTATTTACTCGGCAATTCATCCGGTGACTTCACGGTCGCCAAAGAAGCCCCAAGAAGCATCAAATATTTCCGATGAGATCCATGGAGCAATTCTTAGATAGCAAGAAAAGTCAATAAAGAGTTGTATTTAAGCCGGCATGTTCACCCACCAAATAAAAATAAGACCAAATTCTCCACTATAAATAACTTGTTATCCTAATGTATCTTTTCATACAATATCCCATTACTAAAACAATAATCACCCATGCATCATCGGACGTTACCATCACCAGAAAGAAGAATGCTCAATATATTTATATTTGAAAAAATTAAATTGGTAATTATATACTATTTCCGTCCGGAAATACTTGTTATAGTGTGCTTATCGAAAGCTAATTGATTAATTTTCAAAGTTAAATTAGACACATTTAATTCGATATTTTAAACAAAAAAATTAGATATTCTAAAACTATAAGAAAAGTACTATTAATTACAACTTTTTGCATATTAATATGATTAAAAAATGTATCTTAAAATATTAATTAAAATTTTTATAATTTAACTCTAAAAGTAAAAATCATAACAAACAATACCGGACGAATGGAATATCATGTTAAACATCTTGTATTCATGAATTTATATGTCACGATCCAAAACGAGCCGCGAGTGGCACCCACACTTACCCTCCTATGTGAGCGAACCAACCAATCTAAAACCCAAACATTTCAACCATAATAAACAGAAAATAATGCGGAAGGCTTAAAACTTATTAACGAAATCAATAAATAACTTCTAAAATTTAATACTTATTATTCCCAAAATCTGGAAGTCATCACCACAAGAACATTCTATCCTCAAACTACTAAATCTAAGAGTATCTAGGAAGCTAAAACAAATAAAAGAGATAGTCCATGTCCGAACTTCAAGGACATCAAGACATGGATGAGAGAGAATCCAGTCAGAGCTAGGAACAATAGCTCACCCCGAAATCTGGTATGCTGAAGACTGGCTAGAGTTGCGATTGAGTTGAAGACGATGGTACGTTTGCTGCACTCCACAAATAACATAGAAAAAGAATACAAGTAGGGGTCAGTACAAGACACAAGTACTGAGTAGATATCATCGGCCAACTCAAAATAGAAAGCAATATATATCAGATAATAACATAAAATCAACCATAACACTTAACAGGTGACAACAATAGGTGCCATAATCATTGGCCACAACTCAAGCACATCTATGAGGACTCAAGCCTCCACACCATACTCATTGTTTACATCCCTAATCAATTAAAATAGGTCGAAACGTCGTGGCAACTCAAAAAATTGTTAATTGATTCAATTTTAGCAAAGTTAAAAAATAAACGAGTTTTAAAAAGAGTCGCCACCTAATTTTAGGAAAAAACTAGAAAACCAATTATTAATCTACGAAACCAAATTGATTCTAGGTAAGGGGTTCAAGTTATTCCAAAGGGAAGGGGTTATGCACCCTTCGAAATCCACAAATGCGGTTCCCGACTGAATTCATTTTTTTTTCAAATTGAGGAAGAATATAAAATAATATACAGACATAATAAACATGCAATATACAAAATAAAACAAAATAATAATCGACCTAAAGTTTGCCTAACGTCAATATTCACAAGATAATGAAATTAAAAGTATGATTCGAACTTCATTCGAATAATTTCAAAGAGAAGCTCCTCCGGGTACCTGTAAACACTTAGTAAAAGAGTTAGTACCAAATAAATATAAATAAAAATGAATAACTCAAATAATAACTAAAAAATAAAAATTCGTCTTATTAACATGGGAGGCCTTGGAAATCGACGGTAATTTCTTCATCGGCCTATTTCAATAACTAAAAATATATATAAACTTGAATTAGATTTCCGTCTTTTAAAATGGAGAGGCCTCTATGCATATGGTGCTCACAGGACTTCTTATGAGGAGCTACATCTCGAGAGCATCTCCAGTTTTTGCCGTCCGTTCTTTTGCATCTTCCTGGCTCTAGATCCCTTATATTTGTTGTGTATCGCTGGCCTTGTACTGATCCAGTAGCCGATGTAGTATGTGAAGCTCCAGAGAAAATTGATAAGAGGAGATCTGGAGGAACAGACATAGCCGAAACCATGTACTTGTAAATCATAGCTTGCCTATCCAGTTCCTTCCACTGTGCCCATGTAAAAGGGTATCCCAATGCAGTAGCCATTCCTTGGGAGTTGGTAGCAACATCAAAACTCCTTACAACAGCTGTTGAAGGAGGTAGAGGAAGAAGATTAGCTTCATCAGTAGAACAAATAGTATAGCAATTTTTTGAGTTTTCCATCCTCTAGGGTTGATATTGTTGCCTTTTCCAAAGGGCTAAAGCCTTTAATAGCACCCTCCTCCTCTACATACACCCCTAAAAATGGAAAAAGAAAAAACCCTTTGATAGTCACTATATACACCCCTAAAAATGGAAAAAGAAAAAACCCTTTGATAGTCACTGGCTTTCCTTGTCAATGACCAGCAAAAAGGCAAAACAGAAAAAGAGATACAAGACTAAACCCTCTTAGGAAACTCTTCATTTTAACCTCAAACTCACCATCTTTGATTTCAAAACAAAAAAAACTTGTTACTATTATGATGCAGACAAATGGGGGTTAAATATTACTCTACAATTTTTTTAGTGTAATGAGGAAGATGAGGAATTATTTTTTTAAAGTTTCTTTGTTTTTGGCGCCATTTTTGGCCTTTGGTTTGCCTTCACTGGTGGCCTCTCCAGGCACTGTTGTCATTGTTGGCTGCCTTCGCCGGTGCCAAGGAGAAGAGAAGAGAGGCGGCGCCACCTGGTCTTCACCACCTGCTGCTCTCCAGTGGAACCTGGCTGCTGTCACGCTGGCTGGTCGGAGGGAAAAAGGAAGAGGGAAGGGGGAGAAAAGAGGAGGCGAAAAAGAGGAGGGGGACGACGGGAGAGGGGGAAAGGAAGAGGGAAGAGGGCGACGGGAGAGGGAGGGGGGCTGACGGGAAAGAGGAAAAAAGGGGGAGGGCGTGAGAGTAGGCGGATGTGAGGGAGATGAGAGGGGAGGTGGAGGCTGTGAAGAGAGGAGAGGGAGAAAGAGGGGCTGACGGAAGAGGAGAGGGGGACGGCTGGAGCAGCTGGGAGGAGAAAGAGAGGAAAGGGGCTGCGGCTCCCCCTCTTTTTCTGAAATTTCCCCCCCTCTTTTGACCTAGTTACCAACTTAAATAAAAACTCAAAATCGGCTCAAATGACGGGCTTAGCATTGTGGCTAAAATTACGAATTTTTAAAAATGTTAGGCCAAAATTGGTTTTCAACAGCTGTCCCTTTCGTTGTGTATAATTGATGAAAGAAATCGTGGACAACGAAATTTGACAAACCCAATTTTGACTGAACAGATGACCTTTGTAGAGAGGAGTGCGGTTGCATGTGGTGGAAGTCAATCCCATACCTGTCTCCAAAAGGTTCCATGATGTGTTGCGTCCTTGTTTAAGTGGTTTGCACCTGTTTTTTTTTTGATTTGATTTTTTTTTTGAAGAAATTCATCCTTTTGAATTCTCTTGACAAAGACTGAGATAAAACTCGTCAGCTTAAAAATGCAATTTAAATGGGAGACAGTATCTTTCACCGTGTCGACACTCAATTTCTCTCCTCG